TCGAACTCAATATGTAATGTAATGCATTTCTTTTGCATCACTAGCCATATGAATCCACAGGAAATAGTTAAATATGAAACGTGTTTTATGCACTTCGGTATAACTTTTAAATAAAGACTATTTTCAGGAAATTATTCAAATATTTATTTCGAACACTAATCTATGCATCTCAAATATGAAAACTTTATTTTTCAAACTATCTTTGTTTACTTCAAACAAGTCACTTTGCATAAAATATGTTTTTGTTATAGTATTTTCTTTTCATGCTTATTACTCTTATTTCGTTCTTAATTAAAAGCCGATCCATGCAACATTAACGTGAAGATTAGATAAAATTACAGAATTTCGGTGTTCTTTCCATCATCACTATTTATATTAATTAAATTTTAAAATGGATGTAACGACGTATTTTACTTTTCTTCATCTTTTGAAATAGATCATTCTGTCGTCGGCATTAGATTTTTTTTGACAAGCTGACATTTCTATATTTGAAATTCCAGTATCTTATTAAAAGTTTTTTTTGAGTCTTCTGCTATATATCTGTTCATGAATCTATGATGAATTCTGACATTTCTTTCATATAAACAGATGTCAACGTATCTCCACATAGTATATACACAACTAATCAAGATTATTTTCTGCAGCTCACCTATATTTTCTAAGAAAATAGTGAATGTAAGTTTAAAAGCGAGTTTTTGCGGTTCCCCATCCCCTCCCTATTACAAACATTAATAATCAATTACTGATTAGAAAAAAATAATTATATTAAATCATAAAGAACAAGAAAAATGGAAACAAAACAAACAATAGTGAAAATGAGAAAGGAAAAAAATAGCGCTCAAGAAAATAATAAATGTTTTGAAAGTCTGGAAATACATAAGGTAGATTTTTTTCACTAATGATAGATTAGTTTTAATAAACAAGTATAGTCTTTAAGAAATTTTTTATTTTACAAATTTTAATCGGTTTACTGAGGTCGGAAGGAAATACGTGAGTTGCACTGACAAGCTTCTTTTTTTTCTTTTTTTTACATATTTAGATTTTAAAGGGTGTGGGTGTGGGTGTGGGTGTGGGGTGTGGGGTATGGGTGTGGGTGTGGGTGTGGGTGTGGGTATGGGTGTGGGTGTGTGTGCGTGGGCGTGGGTGTAGGATGGATGTCGGTGTGGGTGTTGATATCTTTCACCCACAGCCCGCACCCACACCCACACCCACACCCTAAAGTCACGTTTACTGTACAAAAGTGAGTTTCTGAACACAATGATATGGACTACGGAATTCTTGATCCAGGCTCTAGATCTGCTTGAAAAGTCATACAAAACTTTTTACCTAAGCGTAAGTTTACTTGATTAACTCTTTGGTTACGGAGCCCCTATATCACGGGCTACGCTCTAGTTCAGACTACTTCTGTAACAATTATGACTCTTCCGATTCAGTAGAATTTAAAATGTCGTAGGTTCGTTCTCGGTTCTTTCCGATGATTTTTTAAATATTCTTGTTTAATCTATCCTATAGAAATCGGACTTTGTGGTACAACCGAAACTTGTCTTCCCTAAGGAGGTAGAAGTAGCGTACAGAATACTACTAAGGCAGAATGTCTTTATAGGTAAATCAGAAGGTATTTACGCATAAGGCATAGTGCGACACTTCTAAGGAATCGCCTCATATGTCACGATGTTGTGTGTGCCAATTGTCGGACACTAAATCTAGTTACTCTACTTTAGTTGTTGTACCGTAGACTGGTATAGGATATGATAAGGTGAAATTATCTTGTAGGGTTCTATCGCTTAGTTATGTTATATGAGTGCTCTTGCATGAACAGAATCATAGCGTCATCGTGTAGTATCTGCATAAATTTACACAATCTACTTTAACCTTTTGTCAAACCAAAGGTTTTTTGTTGGTAGAAAAAAACTCATAACCAAAGAGTTAATCTTCACAAAAAATCTTATTTCTATGAATAGTTGGTAACCTACATAGCATTCAGCAGTATGCATTTTCATTAAAACTTGGTGTTAATGAAAATGCATACTACTGAGCTCAACAGAGAGTACTACCTAATCATTCAAATATGGCCTTTTATGAAGATTGTTATGGTAAAATTGGACCTAAGCGGAAACTCATGACGGGTTTTCAAGTGAAGAAGGAAGTTATCCAGCTGGTGACGAGCTTTTCACTCCACATTTATTTTGTCTATAAGTAGGTTTCAGCAAAACTAAGGAAATCCCAGAATAGCAGATGCCCATGAGCTACTGAGCTAAACTTATAGCCATTTTACTAGAATTTTCGACTTTTGGGTCAGATAATCGTAGATAAGTGAATTAGGATATTTTTACCTGAAACTTTGCCTACAGATAGATCGTCGAATCATCGGAGTACCATAAAAACCTCAGTTTAAAAGGATGTACTCTTTTGAAGATACTGATCGCCCAAGATCAGTTGATTATGTAGCCTTGTCTTGTGATATATTATAGTACTTTTCACAATCAATATCTCTAGAAGAACACATCCATTTGATCTAAAATTTCTATAGTATTCTGATGACTCTAAGATCTATCTGTAAGTTTTGTATTTTTGTTGAACGTGAGTTCAATTTTATTTCAATAATGAAGAAGAAAACACGAAAGAAGGAAAGAATCAAGAAGAGAATGAAAGCATGAAAGAATTAAGAAGAAGAGAATGCCAGCAATAACCATTCTGAATACAATGAAAGAAGTGCATATGTATATATATGATGATAACACTATCACGTATTATAAGCTATGCGATAGAAAGATTAATGCGCAAAAGAATAAAAAGACAAGGTCAATATCGATGTTAATTGACCGTGAGAAAATAGATACGAACGAACAATTTCCATTGAGCAAGAAGAAACATATATAGTTCACGAGGAAGAATATTTCCTTAACACTATCTATCAAACATGTAAAACTCGAAAATTCTGTTCGAGTCAAACTTTCAATTTTCATCTAAAGGAAGATAGCGAAGAGAAGGCACGGAGGTTAACAGTGTAGATGAGAGAGAGAGAAAGTTCTAAGGGTGAGAGATACGTGTGGTTGAAGGCTGAATATTTGAAGGGTGTGGGTGTAGGTGCGGGTGTGGATGTGGGTTTGGGTGGATGGGTGGGTGTGGGTGTGGGGTGTGGGGTGTGGGGTGTGGGGTGTGGGTGTGAGGGTGTGCTTGAAGGAAATAGCTTTGCTCGCACCCACGCCCACACCCACACCCACACATGCTCCTACAAGGTGTCTGTTGACAAGAGAGATTTTGTTTTGTTTCCAGATTTCTTATAAGTCGATACTGTATCACCGTTAGGAAATAATGTTTAATTAAATGCCTAACAGTAACCAACAATTGACTTCAGTTAATATTTAGCATAATAAAAAAACTGAATGTCTATTAAATTTTCGATGTACAAGTATGGCATTGTTTTAGTGTCCTGGTTTGCGTTCAGCTCTTGTCAGTAGTTGTTGGGTTATTTGTTGATGTTGATGATTCAGATTTTACAGCATCTTCGATGGCATCTTTTGTGTTTGTTTCAATTTCTGTTTTATTATCTGGTTGAGTAACATGTTGATTCTGTTTAGTTGTTGTTGAAGGCTGTTCCTCGTTGTTGGCAGACTTTAATTTTTCAGATACTACATCGAAATTACTACGTCCTGATGACGGATGTAACATTAAAGCCATGCTATTCAAAACAACAAAGCAGATATGATTAAATAGTCTTTATATCTATATGTAATTGTGTAAGTCTTTTGTAAAAAAATCTCGCTGACGTTCCCACTATTAAAAGATAAATTTAAATCGAAAAACTAGAACAGACGCACGATCTGTTCTTTTTTTATCATTAAGTATTTTATTTAATAAATAATTAAGAGAGAGGAAATTTGAGACAATAAATTTCCTCAGTAGAATACTTTTGTTTTTCTATTAGCATAGAAACAGTCGAATATAAAAACTTTCCAATAATTGATCTACTTTTCTCCTAAATGAGAATTATTTTGGAAGAACACGCAAGACATTCATGTAAAACATCCTCGTTATATCGACATAAATTTGAAAAGAAATTGAACAAGATTTTCACAATAAAAATATGCCAATAAGATGTAAACAACTTACTGTGTATGTTTAAAAGAAATTTGTTGGTTAAACTCGAAACAATAATGCTAAAAAAATAACAGTGCGCACGTTTTCTTTCTTTGTCATTACACTTTCTCCCTCAATACTTGCGTAAATGTTGTGCAATATTAATTGCTATGCAGAATTTGTAATTTTAGGGTACTGTGTCAACCGAATAGCAAACTTAGTCATACTTTTTCTATTTCCACGTTGTAAAAAGGTAAATATAATAAATTCATTTTCACAAGATTAACAAAAGCTTGACTATTATAGAAACCTCGTTAGTGAAGTCTCATTGTATGGTGTTGGTATGGGTGTTGATTTCAAGTATAGTGGCAGCCACACTAACACTCACACCCACCCACACCCACATCCACCCCCCATCCACACCCACACCCACCCACACCCACATCCATCACCCACACCCACACCCCATACCCTCACCCACACACCCACACCCACACCCACACCCATCTCTGATTCAAATCGTGACCAATAGACTTTGTGTTTCGTTGAACTAGATCTACTGTGTCTATTGTAAAACGAAATAGTCTTTCTTATATGAATGGCATCGTCGTCTTGATAATAAATTCTTCGCTTCTTTCTCATGACGTTGATTAGTTATCATATACATAGAAGATTTATTTTATGAATGAGGACACGGCCTGATTTCATATTGAAGACTAATACCTCGAACAAGTTTCATGCATGTTCTTGAAAACTGGTGAAACAATATCATCAATATAATGGAAAAAATTATGTAAAATATTAAAAAGATAATATTTTTCTTTGTACACTGCAAAAGACGGCTATTGAAGTCGAATTTATTGCACCGTTTGTGTCATCTTATTTACGTAAAGCAAGCACTGATGGAGATGGATGGTATACTTTCTTGTCCTTGAATTTTTCTGTTGATCCGTTATCATACCATTTTCTCTTTAATTTATTTTGCATGTCCTTTTCTGTATGATGTGGTACGACTGTGTCATTATAAAAAGTAAAGGTGTATAAACAACTAATAGAATTCGTCTGGCATTTTTTCTTTTTTCTCTATCAGAAAGTTTCAAGAGTATCTTCTCTAAGTATTATATGCGCTGTTAATCTGACGAAGAAAGTTCTCCAACTATCAAACTGCTTTTTGATCGAGTATGTGCTCAAACCATGGACCTTAATGAGCTATTAAATAGCCTACAAGGGTTTGGTTTTCCAGGCCTCCTGGGCCGAGATATACAATTATTACTTTTACTCGTTTTGCAGTACCACTGTACTAATATATCTGATATCTTGACTAAACATACTCCGATCTGGCTCAAATCTATATCAGTAGTAAAGCACTCAGTACTGATTGAGATCTCAGAGTTTGAAGACAAATTGTTTCTTATAGAAGATATGAATCTGATGGCATACTGACTGATTATTTAAAAAAAAGCCTGTGCTCTTGCTCAATGGTGAAAGTATTGATTCATTTTATATTTTCAGCACACATTCAAGTACTAGTTTACTTAAAACTCAGCGCCCTCACCCTCACGTAGTGTAGTGTGTGCAGATTATATCGCTCCTGCATGTTTAAACTAAACTAGAACTAACGACAATTTGTCCGTAATATTGTTCCATTTTCTTTTGAAAATTATCTAATGATTTAAAGCATTACAGCATTTGTAAGGATGACTCATATTACTTTTCATTCGTCTATCGTCTCGTCGTATATAGTACGTGATCTAGTGATGAAGAGTATTGTAATTTTGAGTTCGGTGAAACTAGGAATGATTGGATGAAAATTTCACAAAGAATCAAGCTTATTTTTCTGATTCTAAAAGTGTGAAGCGCAGTTTCTGACAACATACCGTGCTTGCGATATTTGCGAAAATCTACTATAGGTGGCGCTAATTTTTCAAATAACTCTAGAATCTTTCGTGGTCAGAGGCTGATTCAAATATAATCAAAATCAGAAAATTTAACTTGATTTTCTGTGAAATATTCATCCAATCATTTTGAGTTTCACTGCACTCGAAAAATTCGTCGTTTTCTCATCTGTTCATAGACTAATAAATGAAATTTTTACTCTTGACAGTCGAATGCCTCTTCCACCAGTGTCGTGTGCAATAACTTTAAAAAAATAAATCATAATTGACATTAAAAGATCCATTCGTATTGCATGTTTATCCATACTTCCAATTGGTTGAATCTTTTTACCAAATCTGTCAGTTGTAGCTTTATTGCGAAATACGTTATAATTTTTTATGATTCTTATTTCTAACTTCTATTGAATGGCATTTATATTTCTTATTTTTTTTTTATTAGATTTCGTAATATTTGATATGCTCGTCTTTTCACAACTTTCTAGCGAAATATTTCAATCATGTTATGTGTTTTTTTTTCATAGTGCAGATTAATAAGAATGGTAAAATCTTCATTAATCAATATCATATTATATATGTCAAGTTACTATTGGATGTTTATTGACTTCATCTTCGTGTTGCTTATTCAATAATAACAATTGGTTCGTCAATTTTTACTGGTCTTGAAGTATTACTTGACGAATATTAATATAAATAATTAAATATGATATTAATAATCTTATTTTTCTATACCGGATGAACTCAAAAATGTTTATGATCTTTATCTTGGTTAAATAATTATTATTTCAAAAATGAATACTATTGCATCGAATCATTTTAGTCAGAAATGTGTTGGTAGAAAAACAAACAAAGATGTTAATATTTAAATATTCTTTTCTTTTGTTTTTAGATACTGATCCAATAAAAAAAAGCTGTTTCTGTGTTTTTTTTTATCTGGATTTATTTCTAGATGGAGTCCTATTTTACAAATTCGACAAATCGAAATGATAATTATCTAGGAATTGATCAATTATTTTCATCATATTATGTTATTAAATAAAATCTTGGAAAAATTTTTTCAAGAAAACATTAGATACCTGTTTTATATGGTTAATATCATGAATTAAACGATGATGAATTTGATTATATGTTTACAGAATTAAAACTATTTTCAATTGTTCAACTTTTTAACAAAATACGTGTTAGAGATAATGTGACATGTGACTAAGGAGTTATTGAAGGACTTGAAACCACTAGAATAAAATTACTTCATATTTTTCATATTGCATACTATTCAATTTAGATTTGTATGCATATATATAATTATATATATTTGTTTTGCATTTCAGATAAATAATGTCCGAAAGTATATCACTGTCTCGTGACTTAATAAAACGACATAGAAGTACAAGCAAAGAAAGGTATACTTCTTGAATCTTTGTTTTCAATATGATTATCTATTTTAATTTTTCTAGAGAACATCGTCATCATCGATCCCATCATGATGAATATGAAACAAAACATCGACATTCATCATCTAAACGATCACAATCACCTGAGTATGTTATTTGATTGATTGATTGTAATTGGTAATTTTTTTTTAATATTCATTTTAGTTCAAAACATCGAAAAATTGATGAAACTTATAAAGTAAAAAAACAAAATGATAATAATGACATTTTAGAACGAAATTCAACAGTTAATAAAACAGCAACAATAATGACAAATTATAGTAAACCTTATGAAACAAATTCCTCAAAACGTGTACCATTCTCACTAGAAGCAATGCTTGAAAGAAATAAAAAAGAACAAGAAGCAACCGCAAAGGTAATTAAGATAATAAGCTTACTATTATATTTCTACATTTTATTATTGGAGGGTGTGGGTGTTGACGAAGAGGTCCACACCCACACTCTTATACAATATTAACAATGCTTAATTCAAAAAAAAGAAGATTTTGTCATGTCCTACATCTTGACATGCGCTTTCAAGAATACTGGGATACGCGATCAAAAAAGTATAAACAGAGAAAAATCGATAACGATTTTACCAATAAATAAGGAAACCTTTATTGAAGTCTAGAAACTATTTGACTGTCTTCTATCAAAAGAAATTCAAATTTCTGTTCAAATAAGTACATGTTACTTCCTACTGCCAAATTAGTAAAAGCAAATTTTTTCTCTAATTAATTCATAAGGCATTCTTTTTGAATTGATATAGAATCAGTATTTTACTTGTTGTGATAAAGTTTGTAGCAAAAGAATTCTTCTACCACATTTCACTTACCTCATCTTGGAACGAAAATATTCCATAAAAACATGGTAAATTTTTCTTCTATAATGACATAAGTTCTTGCAATGGAGAAAAACCATACTTCTGTAGTACAGAAGTACGCCTTTCTTCCATTGAGTTTTTGGCATAGGATGTATTTATGAAATCAATTATTTTACATTTGGACAACTCAAACAGACATCACGCGTTTTCTTCTCGGTTACTGCATTCGTCAAACAGTGCAATAGTTGGTATTTTTTTTACCTTGTCTTATTCATTCAAGGTCTTACTAAAACTCAAACTGAATAAATCTTTAAAAATCAGGAGCATCCGAGCTAGATCGAGAGGTTTGGCTAAAAACTTATACTATTAAATAAAAGCCAAAGACCTTGAATACATCATCTAATATCTGTACTCTCACAATCATTTATGAAATAGATATCAAGAGAATGCATAGAACTCACATTAGAAATAAATAAAACTGAATATATTAGTGACGAAATGACATGAGTAAGAACAATCACAGTAATCTTAAAATATATTGCGAAAGGGCAAGATAAATACTTTATATCGATATCGTCTGCTTTTTTGGTTTGTATTGGTATACGTATATGGATAATTTAATGAACAGATTCGTTTTTGATCTAAACTATCATTCTATTTCGTCAATGACAACACTTATTAGATATGAAGCATATATAATTAGAAATCATTGTTATGCATTAATCGAGTTTTTCTTCTTTTTTTAGCCCAAATTTTTAACTAAACAAGAACGTGAAGCTACTGCAACACAGCGACGGCAAGAAGAAGTGGAAGCAGTGCGTCAACGCAATGAAGAAATGCTTAAAAAACATGATACATTCAGTAAAGAAGCTCAACGAACTGTTGTAAAAGATGATCAAGGACGCGATCGATATCGACATGAAAAAGTTGATCACAGAGATCGATCAAGTAGCTCAAGTAATTCTTTCATATCTGTTTATTGTTTTCATTTTCACTATTACTTTTTTCATCTTTTAGGTGCTGATGAAGAACGTGAAGAAGCAGCTGTTAAGGAACGATACCTTGGCATTGTTAAAGTAAATTATTTTCTTCATTTAAATCAAATGGTTGCTTTTTTTTATCTCTCTAGAAAGAACGTAAAGTTCATCGTTTAAATGATCGAAAATTTGTTTTTGATTGGAATGAAAATGAAGATACAGCCGTTGATTATAATCCAATCTATAAAGAAAAACATCCAATACAAAGTTTTGGTCGTGGTCGTACAGTAGACATTGATACTGATAAACAAGAAGAAGAAGATCGAGTAGCGTAAGTTATATAAAAGCAAAATAAATCACTTTTTGTGATTGATTATTTTTTAGAAGTCCTTTGTTATCTTATCGAGAAAAAGATGAAAACAATCGTTATGATGAACGTCATTGGTCTGAGAAGAATTTGGAAGAAATGACTGAACGAGATTGGCGTATCTTTAAAGAAGATTATGATATAACAACAAAAGGTGGAAATATTCCACATCCAATACGATCATGGAATGAAGCTGGACTTCAAAAAGACATTCTTGATGTTATTAAAACCTGTGGTTATAAGGTAATTTTAATTTTCTAAAGTAAAAAACAAGAATACTATTTCGTGGAACTGACATATATTTTCGAAGAAAATAATAAGTTCAAATCGAGGTTCTTACGGTTCTACTCATCTGCAGGTTCCAGCAACTAGAATCGAATTTCGGGCATCAATGAGTATGTTTTCTATAGCAATCGAGGACAACACGTCTTAGACTTCTTTTCTCAGAATTCCTTAGGAATGGAAAAAGATTGGAATACGTTTGTCTATGTTCTGAACTACAGAGTTTTTAGTCTTTTCGCAGATAAAAATTTATATATTCAAGATATCAAGTATAATGCGTACTGATACTTTGATTTGCCAAAATCATTACATGATCAACATAAAAAGTGTAAAATGATCATTTTTCTTCCATTGGGAAATAATCAATATCAGTATATCTGAGCTCATCGAGTTATATAATAATACGGAGAGACCTGTGGTAGAAATAATGGATTTGCAGAATAAACTTATTTTCCAAATAAATCAATGGTTAGCATAATAAAAAAAATAACAGAATACGAAAATGAAAAACAATGAGGCAAATAGAAAAAAATTAGAACGCCGCAGGAAAAGAAAACAAGCTTCTGTTCAAAACACAATAATAAAAAGCTTGTCGGTATGATCCTATGAATAACTAAAGTTTGGAACTTACAAACTCTGACTGTTATAAATGTATGGTATGTTATTAAAGATTTTAAAATATTGAAACGTGCGCTTTGAAATTTTATCATTTCAAAAATATTTTCATTTAGAATTACTATTCTACCAATTTATTTCATTCATTGAACATCGTCATACTATAAAAACTGACTTGTATTGTCGGATACATCTTCAATACATAATTTCTTTTCTCCTGATGTATATATATATATATGACACATGTCATAGGAAGTGGTAAATGTCAATTTCTTCTTCGTTTCGTCGGTTCAACTACCATATTAACCTGCTATCCACGTCGACTTAATCGTTCAGTAAGTTTTCGAGCACACCATACTTTCTCTCAACGAACTTTAAAATACACTGTTGAGTTTAGCCTGAACTTTACCAACGCCATACTGATTTTCACTTATAATAGAATTCTTTTGTTGCACTGGAACCAAAACTCGCAATATTTAGAATAACCAGAATCTACGTATTTCTAGAATGATTCAAATGCTATTATAACTTACGCGTCTTTTCTCATTGCTAGATAAATCTATTTATCTGATTGCTGTGTCTTATGAGAGCCTGGAAGATCTTCGTTGAAACTTCTACTCACTATTATTTTCTTCTCAAGTCTACATGAGTTCCACAATAAGACCCGAAGACCGATTATCTTTGGATACTACTAGAGATTTTTCACTTAACCTGTTTTGTATCAGTATGATGAGGATAAAGAACATGTACGAGTTTCATATTATAACTGTAAATGTGCTGCACTGACAAATTTTTTTTTAATATAGGAACCAACACCGATTCAGCGGCAAGCTATCCCAATTGGCTTACAAAACCGAGATGTAATTGGTATTGCTGAAACTGGTTCTGGTAAAACAGCAGGTCAGTTAATTCTTGTTTGTTGATTCGTTTTGTTTTTGAATCATTGTTTTTATATTTATTTAGCATTTCTTATTCCTTTACTTTCTTGGATTCGATCGTTACCAACAGCTGATAGGTAAGATGGTTTTATTATTATAAAATGAATAAACGTTGTAATTTTTAAGATCTCTTGATGCTGATAATGGACCATATGCACTTATTTTAGCACCAACTCGTGAGTTAGTACAACAAATTGAAAAAGAAGCAATCAAATTTGGAAAAGTAGGAATTTTTTTATTTTTTCGAAATTGTACATTGAATATTTTTTTGTTGATGTTTAGCCATTAAATATAACCGCTGTCTCGATCATTGGTGGTGTATCTCGTGAAGGGCAAGGTTTTAAACTTAATCTCGGTTGTCAAATTGTTATTGGTACACCAGGTCGTCTTATTGATGTACTTGAAAATCGCTATTTAACATTACAACAATGTACTTATGTTGTTATGGATGAAGCTGATCGAATGATTGGTAAGAAAATTTTCAATTATCTCGTTATGAATTCTTATTATATGTGCTTCTTATCATAGATATGGGTTTTGAAGCTGATGTTAAACGTATTCTTGAATATGTACCAGTGACAAATCAAAAGCCAGATGATGAACTCGCAGAATATACAAAGTAAAAAATTTTCTGTTTGAAAAAGAAAAAAATAGCTTTCGTATTTTTTTTTAAAGAGATTTTGCTTCAAAACATAAATATCGTCAAACAGTAATGTTTACAGCAACAATGAAACCAGCTATCGAACGTTTAGCACGTACATATCTTCGTCGTCCAGCATCTGTTTATATTGGTTCAATTGGTAAACCTAATGAACGTGTCGAACAAAATATTATTATGTGTTCAGAAAATGAGAAACGTAATAAATTATTTGAAATTCTTGGACGTGGTATTGTTCCACCTATTATTATATTTGTTAATCACAAAAAAACTGTTGATGAGTTGGCTAAAGTTTTAGATAAAACAAAATATCATTCATGTGCCTTACATGTATGTAATCATTTTCATAGATTTATTAATTGCAAAACAAATTATGTTCTTTTTTGTGTATTTCTACTAGGGTGGGAAGAATCAACAAAGTCGAGATTTTGCTTTAGGTCAAGTAGAACAAGGCAAAAAAGATATTCTTATTGCAACAGATGTTGTTGGTCGTGGTATTGATATACAAGATGTTTCACTTGTCATAAATTATGATATGACTTGGACTATTCAAGGTAAACAATAAGATTATATCACTCGTGGAGCTAGGAAAAGCAGAGATGGCTCAGCCTCTCCTGGTGATATTTTTGAAAAATGTATTAGCCTTCTCAATGAAACATTTTAACACATATGTCATATTCTGTGAAACTCATGTATTTTCGAAGAAAAGGAAATATATCTCTCAAAAATCTTGCTAACAAGGCGTCAAGGTTCGTAGGTGGGAAATATGGCACAGTGGACAGAAAAGGAAACCAGAAGCAATCCCTAAAGTTATTGTAGCTAATAATTCAATATTTTTTGCAATTATGGTTTGCAGTTGACCTTGATTAGATATGTTTGTTTAGGCTCTTTTATTCAAAAGATTTTTGAAAAATAGAATTTTTATTGAATTGTTCAACAGAACTCTATAGTGCCTTTTAGGTTACGTTCAAAGTTGACTTTCCACAACTAATATTCTCAATAGAACTAGTTTATTCGGAAAGTTTCAGCTTTTTCTATTGCTTTTGTTTTGAGATATGTATATTCAGCATATTATTATGTAAAAAAGCAAATTATGCTCTTATGTTTGTTTCTAATGACAGAAGTAATGAAGAAAGCTGAACTTTTCAGCATGAACTAGTTGCATGAAATTTCAAGCCATAACTCAAAGGTCAGAGTTCAACGTAACCTGAAGGGCCTACAGGATTTTGTTGAAAAAAGTCAGCGAAAATTCAATATCATACGGACGGAGACTTGAAAAACCAAATCATTCTAGCCTTTTTCAATGCTCACCAGTACTCATCAAATGAACATAATCCTGATCTAGAAACGATTTAGCACTTATAGAGGCTCTCTCGCAAGTTACTAACGCTCCCCTATAAGAACTCGAAAGTTAGAAATTATCTATGGATTATATTTAGAACCTAACAGTTGATGTAAAAGTTTAGAAATTCATGTATTTGAACTTGTATTGTTTATTAGAAATCTAATCGATCTAAAAGATAAACATTTATTATACAACTCAATATTAATGAGTCTACATCGAAGCCTGTGATATAAAGTAAATATATCAGGCTAAGTAACTGCATAATATCTAATAAAAATAATTATATCTTCAATTTAAAACATACATTATACTTGCAAGATCGTAACAGTGATATTAGCCTATTTTATTGACTTCATGTTAGCTGCTACAAGATAGTTGCTTGCAATTAGACTCCAAGGTGTATTTATATGCAGAGCCATAGGAACTTTACTATTAGCTATAACTTCGTTTCATGTCTCATAAATCGATTTTGTCATCGGGCTGTCCACTGTGAGGGGTAATCCTCTTAGCCCAAAATCCTGGCTTCGCCGGTAGATTTTATGAAAAGAAAGCAAATTTAATTTCAATTATTCTAGATTATACACATCGTATTGGTCGTACAGGTCGTGCAGGCAAATCAGGCAAAGCAATAACATTTTTAACTAAACAAGATTCAGCAATATTTTCTGAATTAAAAGAAGTTATACTTCAATCACCTGGATCACACTGTCCGCGTGAATTACTCAATCATCCTGATGCAAAACATAAATCTGGTTCGTTATTTTATATATTTACTTTTCATGAAAATTATATTTTATGTTTATTTTAGGAACTATGGTTACAAAACGTAATTAAACGGTCATTCTTTATGCTTAAATTAAAAAAACTATTTCGTCTTTTTATATGTGGGTTGTTTCTCTTTTGTTTTATTATTTTGCATACTTAAAGAAGTATTTGATGAAAAATAAAATATTGATCTATCATTGATTTCTCTATTTCATGGAAAAGAAAAAGCTGTTTTTTTTTCTTTCTGTTTGATGATATTTGTTATTACGACAAACACATTCTCACAGAGTCACTTATCAAGACAAATATTCTATTGACTTTCCTGTTTTATGCTGAAAATCTATTTGGATTGTTTCTTTTTATATAGAGCAATAAATATTTTTTTGTTATAACAGATGAAACCATTTTTATATACTAGTAAAGTGTCTGTAATTCGAATTTCAAGTTGAATTTGGGGTGTGGGTGGGTTCCTCTTCCTTACTCGCAATAACACCCACGAACCCACAACTACACCGACACCCACACCCACACTTATTTGTATTGTTAGTTACATGTTCAATGCAAACTTCTTTTCTCTTAATGATAACATATACGACACATACTATACGAAGGAGTAAATATCATTTAATTCTTTGGTTTCAGTGGTTCAACCACCATATTAGTCTGCTATACACGTTGATTTTATCGTTCAACAAGTTTTTCAGCACTCCATTCTTTCTCTTGACAAAATTTAGGATGTACTATTGAGTTTTCACTAAACTTAGAATTCAATTAGCTCATACTTTCCTGTGTCCGTCCTATTCTGACTCTGCTAGATTAATAATATAACTGCCCTACTGACGCAGACACTAGGATCTTCCCGCCACATTATATACCAAAACTGCAATATTTTGATTAGTTTGAATTTATAGTAGAAATCTTAGATGCATAAAATGCTTTGGAAGATTCTAGAAAATTCGACAATTATTTAAGCACTATTATTACTGACGCGCATTTCTTGTTGTTAAGAATATGTATCCAGTGTTTGTAGCTCATCGTCCGTTCCACAAGTAAACCTTGTCCCGATTCTCTCTATGACTTGTGTTCATTTTCTGGTAATTCGAACGAACGGCTTCAATTTCAGTGGGATTGCTGTTCCATCAGTAATCCTTAGTGTCATTTACACTCTTGAATTTGTGTTATGTCCCTAATTAGCTGTGCTGAATAGAAACCCTAAAACTTTAGGTGTATTCGAGTGAACCTTTTTTAAAAAACTATGAACCATATTAGGATTTTCCTTGGAACGAAAATAAGTATAATAATTGTTATCCGAATAGTTTCCAAGACTATCGATACTGTTGCTGCTGTCGAAAGAATAGCGGATGTGATCTTAGATTTAGATTGGAGTATTTTGCAAGATAGATAGGTTCGGAAGCTTGATCTACTGACCTCAGTTTGGAAGGCAATCATAATAAATATTTGAAATTCATCTTACAAATATAACTCTCATCATTTGAAACTGTCGTAAACAACGATTCATTTACTGTCTCTTATTCATTCAGCGATTTCGTTTCACGTTTCATTGTGTTTAAAAGAATGTGCACAAAAGTGATAATGTATATTCTTGTGCGAAGGTAGTACCTTATCTAATGAGCGTTTCGCGGGAAAATGTTATTGCTATTTGCAAACGATCACTAATGCCTCATATCGATCTTGTGTCGACGTAATTTTTCCTGCTTCTTCGGAAACCTCGAATCACAAAAAAAATAAAAACTACAATAAAATGATCATAACGAATGAATATTTCGTACATGTAGTGAAATAACATTTATCTTGTTTCATTCCAGTATTCTTTTGCATCATGATTTTTAATTATTTTAATATTTATTTTTTTTAATTAAAATAAATCAAATGTCTGCTTACTGAAGAACAAAATGAAATGAACTAACTTAAAATTGATCGTATCAATCTGAAGAGAAAAGGTGACGATAAACAGAATGTCTTAAGAACAACAAATATCCATAAATTTTCATTTGTACTTTGATTGAATGCTTCCAAAGAAGCAGGAAATATTACATCGGCATAAGGTCGATGTGAGGCATTAGCAGCAATTTGCAAGTAGGGTGTGGGTGTGTGTGTAGGTGCGGGTGTGGGTGTGGGTGAGGATGTGTGGGTGTAGGTGTGGGTGTTGGATAAGAAAAGAAGCACCCACACACATACCCACAACCACACCCACACCCACACCCACATCCACACCCAAAAATAATGTTCTTACATCTATTACACGATAACCATCACATATTGCTGAACAAAAATACATTTTTTATTCATACTCTTGCACTAACAAGACACTTTCATGTGCAAGAGAACACAGAACGAATTAAAAAAAACAGAAAAAGAAAAGAATAATAAAAGAAACATGACTCATTGCGCAGCACATGTATAACATTCATTCCATTAATCATATATATGTAAAAAGATAGTTGCAAAAAAAAGAGAACGAAGGACTCATTGAAAAACAGTGAGGGATGTAAGCATAAGTTGGATAAGTTCAGATATATTGAAGAATGACTCAATAATTTTTTTCTCTTATTGAAAGTTTATTTTTTTTGAGATCTGCATGAGAATGGCTTAGAGTGGCTTAGAGTGGGTTGGTGTGGGCTTGGGGTGGGTTAGAGTGGGCTGATAGAAAAGGTATTTTATTATTTTATCAAACGTTTTTCAAAGCAAATGGCTTAGAGTTGGGTCTCATGAGTGTAGAATTCTAAGCTCTATCGATTGATATTAACTTCGAGTTAAACGGCGCTTAGAATGGATTAGAGAGTATTTTACAAATACCCGATCATACCGATGTTGATTTATATGGAATTATGGATGGATTTTACGGAATTAAACTAATATTCATGCAACTCGTTGCTGAAGGAAATATATCGATTCATGAGCAAAATTCAGTTAGCGATTTTTCAGTGCAACTCCTATTTTTATTACGAATTCGTGAATAAATAACCTAAATCTTATTGAGTATATTTGAACAATTCGAAACAAAGACGTGAAGATAAAACATTCTTTAGCAGTCAATTCACAGTACAGATTAATCATGAATCAAACAATCCGTTAAATGATAAGCATAATGTAGAATAAATAGCAGAATATAGGTTTAAAGGGGATTTTGTTCGTTTTAAAGACAAGATCAAATTGTATTTCATTTTATGATGCACCTATGCAAGTAATAGATTGGTGGATTAAGTAAAAGAGAATGAAAGCTGGTCCATCATCCTTATATCAACATCAGTTAATATAACAATATTGACAGATCGATTTATATACTGCCGTATGACTCCTGCAACCACTTTCTTTGTCCTCATAGAACTTTTCTTGACTAATTCAATATCTGGCAGTAATCGAAACTTAGATGTTGTTATTGTCGGTGCAGGTCCTGCTGGCATTGCTGCAGCCATTGACCTTAAAAAAGCTTCAACACCAGTGACAATGACGATATTGGAAGCACGAGATCGTGTGGGAGGACGAGTCTATACCGATACACGTACATTCGGCAATGGTGTGTCGGCTGATATTGGTGCCGAATGGATTCACGCTTACGGTGTAAAAAATCCCCTATATAGTCTACATCGACAACTGCAAACAAACGAAGAGAGACAAGGTGATGACTATTTTCATTTCTTCGAACCTGAAGGGACTGGATGCTACGATACGACTGGTCTCATTGTATCACGTCAGACATGTGTAAGAGCTCAATATATCATGGATAAGTTATTTTCACCAAAATATAAAGCCAGTATAAGAATTCGAGACGTATCAGCTCGAGGAATGATTCAGCCTGAATACGAAAAAATATCTGAAGTACAAATAAAAAGACTTGTTGAAGCTATGTTTATCGGAAAAGAGCAATATGAAGCTGTCGATCTTAATCGACTATCTGCTAGGCAAACATTCTTCGATGATTCACCTGGTGATGATGAAGAAGAACAGGGTGAAGATATGGCTTTGCAATAAGGATTCGGTTTCTTAATTCAACGAATCGTCGACAGATTTGCATTACCTGTTCAATTAAATACGGAAGTAACTCGGATCGTCACCAGTAACTCACGTTATGTTCAAGTCTCAACGAAAAATGGCGAAACTATCCAAGCAAAGTACGTCCTGATGACGGTTCCATTAGGTTGCTTAAAGCAGCGAACGATTACATTTGAACCAGCTTTACCTCAATGAAAACAGAGTGCAATCGATAATATGGGATTTGGCGACACAGATAAGATTATTCTACAATTCAACAAGGTATTCTGGGATCCAAGCTTTACTACATTCTTTATAGCTGGAGCATCTTTTCCATTTGCTGTTTGTGCTCCAAAGAAGCGTAGCCTTGTATTTATGATTGGTGGAACACGCGCTCGTCGTATGGAAGCATCTAAAGACGAAGATACCATTACTACAATTCTTCATGATCTAAGAAGAGCATTTCCTAATCATGCCTTTCAACTGGAACGGTATCGAATATCACGATGGACACAAGGTCCATATGCATGTGGTTCCTATTTCTATTATGCACTCAATACATCGTTAGAAACATTTGAAACTTTGGCAAGAGAATGCTGTCATAATCAAATGTTTTGGGCTGGTGAACATACTAGTTCGGGTGGTTCAGTACATACGGCTTTTGCTACGGGTCAACGTGAAGCAAAGAAAATTCTACAGCGGTTGAAAGCAACATGAATCGTTCACTTAAGAACAATTGGATTCAGACTTGTGCAACTTTTTTGAACATTCGAGCCTTTCTTTTGTACAACAAGTCATAATTATAACATGAAGTTCATGACAATTCATTTTCGAAAAAGATGAGATGTGTCAAGAGTACTGCTGAACAGTTTCCACAGAGTCAAATAGGTGTCGACGCCGTAGAAAATTAGATAGGTAAATTCAGTAGACGTTAAAAGAATTGAAAATGCTATCTGAGTTTGCATTATTTGATATTTCGTCTTAGAATTACGTAATAGAATAGTTAAAATGACTGCTATCATGAATGAAACTGAACACTAGATCCCAGTGCCTGTCGGTTTATAGTGATAGGCAACTAGAGATGCTATTTCAAGAATGATAATGAACAGTGTTAGGATCACTTGAACAATCCCAAGAATAAATAAGGCATTCTGAAAAATTTTGAGTACCAGCTTTTCTCGAAGTTCACGAAAGAAGAAACAGGTGTGACCTTCCAACGGCTTAACCTATATCTCAATATGGAAATGGCATAGTACAGTATTAAAATGTTTGCTAAAAAGTCATTAAGCTTATTCCACTCAGTTATGGTGTCATTTTTTTGTTTTATTGAAGACGACAGTAGATTTTTAGCTTTCTCTGTATTGGTATATTTATCTTTGGTTGTTTGGTTTTGTTCTTGCATGACTTGGATCTACATCAAAATCAGTATATGACGAGAGAATAAAAACGTAACTCATACGGAGAAACACATTTTCTATGGGATCCCTAGGATGTATACTTTCTCAATTATTCATTTTTGTCTCAAGAATATTTTTCTGTTTCTTTTATTTCGACAACTTCAGGCAAAGTCAACTCCAGTAAATAAGACTTATCAGCTTGATCACTAATATTACTCACAGGAACGCTTGAAATATTTTATATAGACATGCACATTCTCTTCGTGCGCTTTGATGCATATTCTTATCTGTTTGTTTAAGAGACTTATGCCCAGGTCGATATGTGAATGGTCAATTAGTCGCTCATTTTTTTTCTTAGAATATTCATCAAAATATTTACAAACCAGTCTATCTTCGTTCATATCTAAGAGAATGCAGTTATCGATGTGAGTGTCTCTTGTCTTGATTCGTACTTACACTCTTACCCACACCCAATCTCTCTTATGAGAATTAATACCGATTCAGTCATATAGAAAAACAAAAATCAATCAGTTTTTGATTAAAATAAAAACTTTATTCTTACAATTAACATGTTTTGTTGAAAAACGATCATTGTTCCTGAATAGAACAGTCTATGAAATAGATATCTCAATGAATTCTTTCAAACATTTGTATTCGACTATTGTATCTGTCCGAAACATATAAATTATGTTCCGAATCAAATGCAATATCAGCCGGATAACTGAATTCACTACTACTATTACCAAGTTGACCTGTGCCTGCTATTGTAATGCCCAGTATAGCATTTGGACAAAACATTTGTATTCGATGATTAGAAGTGTCGGCAATATATAAATTACCGTATTTATCCATAGTTATACCTTCTGGGAAAAACAATTGTGCTGCACTATTTCCAGGTCTTCCAGGTATACCAGCATATATATTACGAGGTTCATAGCTTCCAAGAATCCATTGTGTTATCGAGTGTGATGCTTCATTTGCTATGTACAAAATTTGATTTTGTTCATCGTAATACAAACCAGTTGGATTATTCAATTGGTATGGATTGAGACCAGGACCATTACCACCCTAAAACAAGTGATAACGAAAAGTTCAGTAAGGTTATATCTATCGATCTTCATTATCTCGAACTCCCTAAACTCCTTATGTTGCTTTTCTTCTTCATAGTCATTCTCTCAGACAAATACCACAAATCGTGGTAAACCTGAAAAGATTGTATATTACTAGAATTTATAAAAAAAAAGAATTTGATATTGGAACTCAGGGAATAATAACCATTAAAGAATTCTTCTATCATTCACTAGAAATAAAATTAGCAGCTTACAGCTATGATTGTACCAATCGCTGTTTTTGGATCAAAAGCGAATGGCCATTGGGTAACGCGATGATTGTCATAATCACTAACTATTATATTTTTCTTGGAATCAAAGTAAACTGTACTTGGAAAATTAAATTCATTTAATGCTGGACCTTGACTACCATTCCCTGCGATTGTTCTACCGAATTTAGCGTCTTTTCCCCAATACTGAATTCGATGATTACCCCAATCAGCAACGAAGACATTTTCATTTTCATCTGCAAAGACATCTGCTGGACCTGATAGCATACTTGGTGCTTTTCCACTTTTGCCATCCGACTGACCAGCAGCTGTTTTTATATCACCATTAGGATATCGCTTTTGAATGCGGCTATTGGACATATCAGCAATGTACATAATTTGTGTTTTCGGTTCGATAAATATACCGTCTGGAAGATATAATTGATCTGGGCCAGGACCCATACCATTGCCAATAATTGTCCTACCTGTTTTACTCCATTTAAGACCACCTGGACCTAGAGTTTTAATAAAACTTCTTTTTTCGTTATCAAAGAACTTAACGTTTTTTCATTCCTTAAACTAACACTAATCTTGCATTTGTTTAAAGTATAATGTAAAAAACTTCTACGAATTACACTATTGTGAATGCTGAGCAGAATATATATTCAATAGCATGTACTCGACTTTGAATAGTGTTACTATGACAAAGAGAACAACATTAAAAACATCACCTGATATCTCTCACTTCTTTATTCGACGGTACTGCCTGTTTATTGAGATCGAATTTCAACAAAATAGAAAGAACATTAAAAAAATCAAAGGATCAGAGACTTGTTCAGATTTAATTCACGTACTATTATCGCTATTTTGAATTTCTCACATGTTGACTTGATGATTTACATTTGAAGTGTTAGAAAAAAAAAGAGATTGGGTAATATTTTTCTAAGTCTTCATCTATAACTAGTCCGAATAAAATATTATTTTGGAAACATCAAGTATACTTACATTCGCTTGATTCTTTATAAACAACTTTAGCTGAAAAAAAAAATGAAAGAAATTAATTCATATTTTAAAGATTCTATCATGTACTTACCATTAATTGCAACAATGACTCTAAAAATTATAAAAATTGATCAGTTATTCTCAATGTATGAATAAAAATCAATTAAGAAGATAGTCACATAGATTGTATTCGACTTGAAAATCATAACCAACAAAAAAGTTCTATGGGTTGTATTATAAACTTTATCGTAGATAGAAAAATCAGTTCAGACCAGAGCCCGAATCGAACTGACTTTTACGGATTCGAGTTCGGTTCGGTTCGACTAATTTTTTAAAAAATTGGTTCGGGTTCGGTTCGGCTCGAATATGTCTTAAAAAAGTGGGTTCGAGTTCGGTTCGGTTCGGCTAAATTTTAGAAAAACCGGTTCGAGATCGGTTCGGTTCCTGATAGGCGTGGTATTTTCCTGTAAGTTTATTTTAAACTAAGACTGTTGCCAAGATAAATTTAAATTAAATAAAAATTTTTCTGATACCAAACTTTTAATTTAAAATAAATTTAAATTGTTATGTGGAATAAATTTAAAATTATTTTAGATTTAAATTTTTGAGAATTAATTTCTGGAAATAATATTTTTTTGTGAATTAAAATGCAACAGCCCAATCGTCAAAATACATGACTTCAAGAAAAATAGATCAGAAATAAAGAGAGAAACTGCTATTATACGTTAACATCCGATCATCACTATAGAAGATCCCGTAAGAAAACGGCCGTGCTCCGTTCCTATTATTTTCTAACGATAATAAAAAACTTGTACAGATACCATTGCTAGTAGAACTGAGAGATAAAAGGTTTCTTTTGATTTCTATAGATAACTATACAAAGTGAAACTTAATTAATTAAAAAGGAGCTTAAAATACTTCAAATTTATTTAGATGTAATCTAAATTATTTTGAGTTTATTGAATTTTTTTGAATTTTATATAAATTCGATTTAAATTCAAAATAAAATGAAATCTTTTACAATTGATTTCTTGATTTGATAAATTTTTGTAAATATAAATTGATCGTCCACAATCCCTAATGTAAAATGTTCGATTAAAGATCGTTTGATAATCCCATATAGCATCACAATCTTACAAAAAAGATTATAGCTCAGCTAATCATTTTTCTTATGTGCTTGTCCATATTTATTCGCTTTTCAAAAATTAGTTAGGCGCAGTTCAGTTTAAGGTCGTTTTTTAAGAAGTGGTTCGAGTTCGGTTCGTTTTCGGGCTCTGGTTCAGACAAATTAACAATAGAACAGATGAGCAACTCATTGTTTGACTGATTTGATCTGTTCAGTTACCTTATTTTTAAATACTCACATGAATAGACATCTTAAATGCTGTAACACCATCCTTTTTTACTTTGTTTGTTATCTATTCGAATATAGAAATTAACGACTTTTTCAATGTCTCACACCTTTTAAATTGTGTTACTTTCTTTATCAATGCATTATCATTTTTATGTTGCATATTCTAATATTAGATCGTGATACACTAAAAGCTGATAGATAAACAGGTCAACTGAGATGTTTTGAAAAGAATATACACGTTTTGAAACTAATGAACGAATTACAAATGGATATGGGTGTGGGTATGTGGTTGGAGCAGGGATGATGTGTGAATAAGTATATAGAGTATTGGTGGGAATACGAATTAAGAAAAGAGACACCTACATTCATACCCTGCAGTGACCAAGTACTAAAACTATCAGTGAAATCAGATGATTGATGAAATAATCCATAAAAAATTTTATTCAATAATTATAAGTACTTCAATACCTTCACACTACCGTTAGAATATATCTTTGGATAGAGATAAAAGTACTGTATCTGAAAGATAATTGTCGAAAAATTTACATCAAAGAATAATTCAGAACTCTTGTAGATTCAGAATTTTTTTCTATGTCAACATTTTTACCAAAATGATATTTCAGCAAAGTGAACAGTGTGAAAGAGAAATTCTTATCGAACAGATAACTGAAAACGAATTTGCATATAGATGGTATAATGAAGATTGAAAAGCTCTACTCATAGAAAAGTTTAAGCTAAAGTTTGGAACAAGATAATTCCCGAGGTCATCGCATGCAATGTTGGTAAACGAGGTTACAAAGCTACAGAGAGCTTTGTTCTGTATTTGAATTTCATCATAATAAAGCAAAAGTAAAAGTTTTAACGAGAATTCCCATTTTCACTGTCATTTTTGCTAGATAAAAGTGCTGCATGAGATTCAAATGCGACAGAGCTAATTCAAATATACGAAAGATAATGTTGTCAGATCTATGAATGAATAGAACTACATGACTTTGGATGAACAGTCGAAAAGACAAAGGAAAATCTAGTTGAAAATTGTGAGTAATCAATCAGCAAAAGAGTCAACAGTTACATCAGTTAGCAAAGGAAAAAGAAAAAGCTACAGAACCGAAGTTAATTGAATGATATAAATTTTTTTTAACTATGAGACCACATTCGCGGTCATTTTTTCAAAAAGATTTTGAATCTACAATGTACACAAAGTGGTATCTTATCCCAAGTAGTGTTCCTAGCATATATAATTGTTAATGAAATCATCAAACTTGATAGAATATGAATGAATATTTTCATCATGAGACAATATAATTTGTTACTGAAAAGTTCTTTCCTAGTGATTGATTTTAAAACTACATAGATCAAGAAAAAATCATTTCCTATGGTGAATTTGGCATGATAAATAAATATATGGCAGTTAATTGAAGAATGAACATACAACTAAAGATTTTCATTTCAAAATAACACACCGCTCAAGGTATGTATCGAACAGTGTTATTATAATGAAAACGACGCATGCAACTTGACCTAATCTTTTTTTTTGTTTTATTTATTGCCAATCTCATTTTTTGAAAGAAGCGATAACATTTTTTTAAATAAATACGAAATATAGACTAAACAAAGCCTAACAGAAGAAAATGAGCATATATATATAATATTAACAATCGTGAATAGAAATAGTTCGATACACATTGTTATAAGAATTATATGTATGGATAATTACAAAAATTGGACAAGTATATTTGATTTAGTTACATATTTATGACACTATAACAAAGATGTCAAACTTGAAACTTGAATTCAATTGAAATTTTTAGTTTCAACTTTTAAGCTGAAATCATTTTCAACAATCATGACTT